CAGAAATTAAAGGGCAGGTCACTGGAATTTTTGTGCAGCAGAAAAATTAGAAGAAAGCATGTTTATGGATTCCCATGATTGTAGCAAGAGAGGAGGAGAGAAGAGCAAAAAGTGCCTGGTTAATAAATCAAAATTCTCATATTTTATTGATCAAAAGCATAATGAAATATAAAGGCTCCTATTCTCCTCCTAAACCTCTAAGATTAGGATTTTTAATTGGAAACTGGTTACTAAATGAACCAACTTAGGTTCCTGCAAAAATAAACCTAACTCCTAGAAACTTCTAGGTTGATGTGAGCTAAATAAAAATTAACCTTGAGGTGCAGGAAGAATAAAATTATAATCTTTCCCCTATACATAAAAAAGCCAGAATTTTATAAAGTGAAATCTTAAATTGCTAATATTGAAATTTCATATATGAAAGTAATTAAGTTTCTTCTTCCATGGTTGCATTGTGTTGACATCATAATCTGAAGTGGACTACGTTTCCTTTTCAGTGTATGTCCCATTGCCAACCATAAGTAATAATGAAGTTTCACTCTAGGAGTCCATGGTAGTTTTCTCTATTTTAACATATAGCAGCACTTGTTGATGCTCATGGCAACTAGAAAGCCAGATGAAATCAGATGTAATGTGTGACAGAGGATATCATTTTCATTTTTCTTTTTTTATCATGGGTAAGTGAATTATCTCAAATTGAACCTTGACTGTTTTATCTTTAGTTGATAGTATGTTACCAAAATGGCATTAAACTAGACTTATTTCTGCATGTATATGTGCCACGTATAGTACATATGTAACAAGAGCTAACAATTTATCTTAAGGCCATAGTTCTAATATTTTTGTGTTATGGTTCCTACTTTTTTGTTATTTGGCTTGACTCATCATTCCCATCATTTTGAAGCTTAAATTGATTTTATCCTCTCAATTGATGTAATTGTTTGCCAACAACCTGTCTTGGTCTCAAACAGTCTTACTACATCACTTATGATAACTTAGATAAGTTTATTTTATGCATGTAAGATTAAAAACAATCTTTTTAGGATTGGTATATAGGGTGGTGTTCTTTGGGGTCTGACTGCTTCAAAATTATTCAATTGCTCAATATTTGTACTGTAAATTAGATGATACATTCCTTCCTAAAAAAACAGAATCATTCAGGACTTATGCCATGCTTGGTTGCGCTTTGAGAGGGAATTTGGAACACTGGAAGATCTCGACCATGCTTTGCAAAAGGTGCAACTTACTTCTTTTTCAGTTCTGCTGTTCAGATAATGATTCTGCTTCAGATTGTTAACACATTTCCATGTAAAAACAATGAATCTCACTGCCTTGAAGATGGATTCAAATCAAATAGATAAGACAAAGAAGGAATACTCGTTTTGGAAATTGTCAAGATTTTTATATTTTGGCTAGTAATCTTTGCTATTGAACATCAAAACAGTCTTAAAAAGAATAAATAATTTACTCAATGAAGAACTAACTAGTATATAATTTGCAAAATAGTCTTGTTTTATTTTATTTTATTTTATTTTTCTAAATAAAGAAAGAACACTTCATTGTGGAGTAAAAGTTGAAATCCTAAATCACCTGCTTTCACCATTAATTGCTTTAGGTGATTATTATGTCTACTGCCATTTCTGAGCTGGTCAATTTTCTACATCTATTATCCTAATGAATCCATGAATTCACTTGCCACTTCTCATTGGCTGTGGATGAGAGATTTGGCACTAGGTGTCAGGTGAAAAGAATGATCTATCTGATCTATTGTTGTTATGCTATGTTTAGTCTTAAAATGCAGCAAACCTTGCTCCATTATAAATAAAATTTTCTATTATTTTTAGTCTTGGACGACAGTATTTGATATGCTTTCTTGAGTTTCAGGTGGAAGTTTGAAAACATATTTTTCCCCTGTTAAACAAAGAGATGCAGTGCTTTTAAATGTTTTTAATGGCTTTAATTAGCAAAATTATTAGATTTGGTCATATGTTTTCATTACTTTTGTTTTGCTCTTCTAATGGGATGTCATTAGTCATTGTTGTCTTTAAATATTTCTTCTTTTGTCACTGTTTAGTGTGTTGGTAAGTGACTTATGCTTATGATGCTTCTTGATTAGTTAATTCAAATCAATGAAGTATCAAAGTACTCTTTCTGGTGCCCTTATGAACCATCTTTCTTGGATGTGAACAAGGCATGCTAGTAATATTGATAGCAGCCTCTGGTTTTTTAACTATATGTCTGAGAAAATTCACTATATTGTACAGTAGTCTGGTTATGTAAAAATAAACAAAGTGTCATCTGGTTGATGAATAACCCTGGCTGCCTTTGACAAAGCCAGAATTATCCTTGTTTGCTGTTCCATTTCTCAGGTTACCCCTCGTCTTAAGGAGCTGCAATTGTTTAGGTTACAGCAGGAATCTAAATCTGTCATTGAAGCAACAGATCAAAGAGAGCAGACCTCTCAGAAAACTGCACGTGAAAAGAGGAAATCAGGTTCAAGTGCAATTGATGAACAGTCTCCAGCTAAGCGGCAGAAAAATACTTCTCAATATCAGAAGAAATTGCATGAGAAAGAGAACACACAGGGGAAGAATGTAGCTGAAGCAAATGATGGGGAAGAGAAAAAAGGCAAGGTTGACAAACAAGTAAATGAGCAGCAGATGAAAGACACTGATCCTGGTAAAACCAGATTATATACAGATCAGTGCACTGTATTTATATCAAATCTTGACTATAAGGCAAGTAGACTCCCTTCCTGCCTGCTTCCCCTTATCTGCTTTTTCCCTCTGTCAAATATGTGGACACCCTTGCTTTTCTTCATATTGTTTACTGTTGGGCAAGCAGATAGACAAGTTTATCTTCTTGGATAGCAGGCAAAATATGAAGATCTACGTCAATTCTTTAGTGATGTCGGTGGGATCACTTCAATGCGAATTCTGCATGACAGATTCACTGGAAAATCAAGGGTCTCTTTCTCTCTCTCTCTCTCTCTCTCTCTCTCTCTCGGAGTGTGTGTGCATGTGCGTGCATATGTGCATGCCCCATTTGTTATTTTTCTGTTCTTTCTTTGCGACTGCACATGCTACAGAGAAATCGGAAACTGGCTGCTTGAGTTGCTTACTAGATTTATGTCTGGTGCTCAGGCTGGAATTTCCTTATTACAGTCTTTCTTGACTAGTACTAGGTCATGTATTGTACAGTTTGATGTCCTTTATGAACCGCTTTTTACTGTCTCTTGAAGTAGATATAATTTCACAGGAGGAATATTGTGTTTAAACAATCCCAATATATTTGCTGTGTCAGGTTTTATGTGGACATCTTTTTTTTGATAAGGAATATCATTTCCTATTTTTTGGCTGGCATTAACAGCGAATATGTGCACCAAAATTTCTCAAGCATTCAACATAGTTAAGTCTAATGGGTTAATAAGGGCAAGTGATGAAAAGACTAGATTCTCCATGAATATTTTATTTACATGTCTAAGGTGGTATTTGGTAAAATTTTCAATATAAAATCCCTGTAAGATCATATATCTCTTTTAAAATAAATTCAATAAAAATTTACTTGGCATTTAACTACGATAGTATACCAAATGATTTGTATAGTACAAATTTAGTATTTAGCACCTACTTTTTCAGCATCAAGATTTCAGTTGATGGAAAATTTAACAACAGCACCTAAGTAAGGTCTAGGTCCCCATTTCCTAATCTGGGTGATAATTAACGTATGGGAAGAGTTGTCTGTTATTTACTAGTCATCAGATCGCATAGTGATTCTTATACCTTCTAATGGATATTGAAGGGACTGGCATATGTGGATTTTGTGGATGATGAACACCTTGCTGCAGCTGTAATGAAGAATAAGCAAATGTTGCATGGGAAGAAGTTGAGCATTGCACGGTCAAATCCTAAGCAACGTAAGAAGGAATCTTTTGTTCTTAATGCACCTGGTGGACATGGTAAGTCAGGATTTGAATTATACTCTCTCCTTGCTCTCCCCCTTGCTTTTTATTCCATTTCCCTTTTCTATCTATGTCTCTCCTTGCACACTTACTCTTGCTTGTGCAAAAATACCTTCTCGGTAATTGCAGCAGATGCCTAATTTATTAAAATGCATGACAAACATTTGAATGTGTTAAGTATCATGTGCATGAACATTTGTATTTGATAATGAGAATAGTTCAGTCCTGAAGACTTGTAGCATGCTAAAGAATTTGGGAAGAAAATGTCTAGTGGAAAGAAATGCTGGGAAAAAGCAGGAGCAGGGCTTGTTGTGAAGCTTGTTATTTCATGTCTTAGTCTTTATAATCAAAATTCAGCCAGCCAGCAACTTTCTGTCTTTTTAATGTTATCATCTACAAGGGGAGGGATTAACTTCCTACTATTTATTTTTAGTGCAGGAGTCGTGATCTTTTATATATATACAGACACCTTTCTTTCTTATGTCCCTTCTTGTGGACAAGGGAAGAAGAGGATGTCGTTATTAATTTAATAGAAAAAAAAAAATCTTTTGAGTTTTTTAGTAGTCTTTGGCATGTTTGAAAGGTGATTTTCAAGTTTTGTTTCTCATATTTACATTTAATTTTCTCTCCCTTCTCTTTTGTCAAATTCTGGTGTTAGTCCTGATATGTATATTTGTTTTTTCTGTCATTTGCTCTATCTCTGTTACTTCATAGCTTGGTTGGCAGTCTCTTTTCTTATGTTCTTAAAACTGAAATTGCAGTAGATGCTAGCAGCAACCGAAGTGGAATTGATGGGAGTTCTGCATCTAAAGAATCTGTTGAAAGCCCAAAGGGATCTAGGGTACCACAATCTACTGCTAGCAAGCGTGTTGAGAACTTCCAGCTTAAGGGGAAGAACACCTTTGCGGTTCCAAGAAATGTTAGACCACTCGGATGGACTAGTAACAAACCAGAAACCAGGGAAGAGGGAGATGAGAAGCCAAAATCAAATGATGAGTTCAGAAAAATGTTCATGAAAACCTGAGGTTCATTCTCAAAGTTACTGATTAAGAGCATGCTCAAAATATTATCCTTGTACAAATATTACTAGCAAAATACCAATTGTGTGATAAATTAGTTGTGGTTTGTAGTAACTCATTGCCGCTAAGCCTTCTTTATGGCATATAAAATTGCTCCAAGTACATTTGGTTCACAATGTTTTGTTGTGCAAAGCTCAGCTCATCCTTGAGTTCCAGCTCCCAATTCCGAGATGCGATAAGCCAGAAAAAGGGCATCCTAGATAGGTGGGTGCTGCTTTGCAGTATTCTTTATCTCAAACAAAGGCAGGATGGATGAAACTATAAAGACATCTGGCCTGGAGTCTGGACCACCAAAGCACTGGCGAGTACTGTTGAGAAATCAGCAGGCAAGGCATGGCCTGCAGAGTGTGGATGTGGATGTTTGAATTATTATTATCATGTCATGGCTCAGAGCGAGAGATAGAAGGAATGTTGTTTTGTCTTGTTATTGGCGTTTGATAGGCAGGGAATGCTTTTGGTCTCTGGCATGCTTTCACACGTGGTAAACCCAATCACCTACTCCTTGTAACTTCCTAATCATTCCATTTCAATTTCATTACTACTACTGCTACTACAACTGGCGCTGCTACTCACCTTCACTTATTCAATCTGCAGTGCATTTAGTTTTACCATTAGGTTTAGTGACCCATGTTTCCAGGCAGGAATGAAAGAGTGAAACCATAAAATTTAATGATTGACTTGGGATATTCTTCAAAATTAATTGAAATACTATTTAGGGTAATATTATCATATTAAATACAGTCATTGACATCTAATGTGATCATTTAAGTACCATTAGGTTTAGTTGGTTGTCGCAGTCGGGGGATGAGGTAGAGAGAGAAAAAGATGAAAATTATAAGTTTTTATATGTTAAGGTTATGTTTTATTATACACGAGGTAGTATTTTATCGAAATAATCAAAAGGGTATTTTTATTAAAAAAAAAAAGCATTTTACCCCGTTCCATGATTTGGTAAAAGTTAAAATTATTTCGTTTTTATTCATAAAAATTATTCCAATTTCATTTGTAATGACTATTTGGTGAAATGATTATTCTGTAAATCAAATAAAAGAATAAAGTAGGGAAAAAGGAACAGGAGAGAATGGAGGCAACATTAATATTGAACTTGAGAGCATGCCACAATCCACAGAGTGGGTACTTTCAAATGTATGTAGGAGTACAAGAGTGGCAGATGAATCTTTGGTCGGGAAGATAAATGACTATTTAATTAGCTTGAATGCCACACAACCTGTGGCAGTGTTTGCAGTGTGATTGGATCAGATCAGAGGTTTCAGTTATGGCCAATTTCTTTCACCTTCACTCAGGGAATCACTTTTCCTTCTCTTCTCTTCTCTTCTCTTCTCCATAATCTATCAAAGGCATGAAAATTATCTCTGCTCATGTCAGCTCAGTAAACAGTGGGGAAAAGTTACTTCCCGTACACCAGGCATACATTTTTTACTGCACCATTCCACTATAACCAAATCTGACTCTTTCCATTAATTTTCCATGAGTTTTCTTACACGCCACCTCCATTTTTCACTCTTTCAGGGAAAAGAACACTCATCCTAACGCCAGATATCCTGGGTTTTAAGTTATTACTATCATGCCTAACCCTCTCCTGGTTGGCTACAAAGTGGAATGCAGACATGGGTGATGGGTGGAGTTGCAGCGGCCTGTAAGTACTGCCTGCCACTACCATCAGTGTCCTAGACTTAGTCTGATCTGAAATGAACAAGTCAGACCCAAGTTACAGACCTGAGCAATTCTGCATATTAACACCATCCCAACCCAGATATAAATCCAGAAAGCCGTCCTGAAAATAAGAAATTACAGCTCAAAGCATAGGAAACACACCTAAGATATAACAAACTAAACACCTAAAATACGTTGCAGAACAGGACATGGCAGAAGAGACACCATTCCGGCCATTACCAGCGTCAGAAGAAGTAAACATTGGAAACCACAACAGAGAAACAAATAGTGAAAACACCCTGTAAAACATTAGAGTTTGAACAGCTCCTGAACAATATATAAACACCATGTGCTCGAAGAGTCACTTTTCCAGCAACCATTGACGTATATATAACTCTTTCGACTAGAGGAGCTTTCAAGGTGGTTTATATTTGTATTTCACCAAATATAATAAATACAATACAAATATATGTGTATATATATAGGAAGGCAATCTGACAAGTATGAGCAAGCTAACTTGAAGTTTGCAAGCTGTCAATTTTGATAAGCCCTACTGAATTTACAGGTAGACAAGCTAGCTTGAGAGTCTAAACCTACCTCAATATCAGATTTTTACAAGTTATTAGGCTTAATTTCATAAGAAATCTACCTTTATTCATGATAGAATAAGAAATTAACATAATTCTTATAAATTGGAAAAAGGAATGCTAAGGAAGCATTGTCTTGACTTGGACCTTTGAAAGGTCAAGAATTTTTAAGTAGTAAATGGAGAAATGACTTGGATTACATTTCATTCACAAGTTTAAATATCGCATAAGCAAAGCATATTTCCTTACTAGGTTAGCCTAGCTAAATTCAGTGTCTTAAGAAAAGATTAAAGGCAAAGCAAACTAAGCAAAAGAAGAGAAAGCTACACTTGAGAACTTCTAGCTTTAGAAGTCATAATCTCAATTAAATGTTGGGCAAGCTAACTTAACCACCTTTCTCTTCTTATGTTTTCTTTCTTTGCCTTTGCAGGTTCTAAAGCTAAGGAGATCAGAGGGCAGTCACCTTCCCATGCTCAACATTTACATGAAAGTGGATGAGTGCTAAACCTAAGAGTGATACATGACAACTATTACAAGTTTTGATGAAGAAAAGGTTATAGGAACCAGAATCCAAAGCATTTTCTCTTCATTTACATTTTTTTTTAGCTCTCTTTAGTTTTAGCTCGAGTGTTAGTTTTTATAGTTCTCATTATAGTTTCAAAATGACACTTATCAAAATGACACTTATTATTTTATGTTACATCATATTATTTTAACATATTAATTTGCTATAATGAATGATGGCATGGCATGTTAATATAATATGATTAATTTCATCATTCAATATGTCATGTCAATGTTATATAAATATAAAAATTACAAATAAATGTTGGTTAGTCTAACTGTTTTGCCTAACTATAATGAAAAGAAAAGTGATACTTGTACTTTGAAAGAGTGTGGTTGCGTGTGAAGGGAAGATGTTAGGAGCAAATGGACAGTGGACCCTGGAGAGCACAATTACAATTAAGCAAAAGATGGGATGCAGAAAGCACAGAGACAAAGCTTGAATTCCCCCTCTCTGCTCATGCGGGGGGCTTAAGCATGCGTCTTGATACACTGTCTTCAAATTTTATTACACAGTTCCCTTTTGTCCAACCTTTCTTTTTTCTTTAATCATCATTATCATTCCTGCATTTCCTCCATGCAATTATGCAAAAGCTCACACCACATGCATGCACACACACAGTTTAAGGCCCCCATGATTTTGCTTTTCCATCAAATTAACTTTTGCTTGGATTTTTATGTATAATTTGCCTACTGTTTCACACTGTGCTGATTCTTTCTTTTCCCACTATATGTGTCCTTTGCTTGAATAAGGGTTTCTCAGTTTATATCAAATGTACACTACATTAAAATACATTAAGATGATATTCAAAATCAATCAGAATCCAATACGGGTATTAAAAACTTTACTCAAACTCGTCCCTGTAACCGAGTATAAGATATCCAAACCTTATGTTATCAGATTGTATTTCTTCGGATACCCAAATTAAATCTAACCCTGCAAACTGATGGAACTGACTGCATAGAATCTGTTAGTACTCCTGCAAACTGATGATGGAGGGTATGAAGAGAAGTTTGGAGACAAAATGAAAATGAGATTATAGGTAACAAGCCCCTTGCTAAGATGTCAGCAAGCTGGTTTTGTAGAGGGAACAGATTTAACAATAAGAGTGCCATTGGAAACAAGGTCTTGAACAAAGTGATAATCAACTTCCATATGTTTTTTGTACGACCTTGAAATATCATCAATAACAAGTCATGGGAATTAATGGAGATTTGAAAGTCCAAGACCTCGGAAAAGATTTGAAATCCACAGCATTTCAAAAATAGTGATACAGCACTAGAACGAGAAAACATTGACTGCTTTTTAGAGCCCCACGAGATGATATAGAATAGCCAAGAAAGACACAAAAGCCTGTCGTAGATCGTCGCGGGGTTAGGACAGCCAGCCCCAATCCGCATCAATGTATGCGCAAGGTTGAGAAATGGGGCCACGCTTAATCGTAATTCCACACAGCCTAGTCTGCTTTTGAGATATCTCAATATCGTTTTGGCTTCTCGGAGAGGTTGTGCTGTTGGAGCATACATGCGAAGATTGACAGCGTAAGCAATGTCTGGTCGTGTCATATAGTGAACAAGGCTTACATCGTAGGCTCCTAGCATTACCAATGCATTGCAGAAGATGATCAAGTGTGTTCTTGTTTTGTGTCAAAGAATAACCATCAGATGAACCAGAGTCTTCAATTCCCAGAAAAGAAATATTATGCTCATGGCATATCTGGGTCCAAGACCCCAACAAAATCTGGGCTATATCACCTAAAAATGAGTGGAGAACAAATGATTGAACTATCTGCACAACTTCTATGGAACCCATTCTCAAGCAGCACTGAAACGTTGGAACCATATGCCCGAGGGGCTTGTGTCCTAGTCCATAAATTGCTTTGTGTAGCCTACAAACATAACCAGGTTGTGTTGTGTGCTCACATAACCTGGTCCTTGTTGTATGCAAGACTTCTTCCAAGTCTTGCATGATTTATATACGAATAAAATGAGAGGAATTTACAAGAGAAAAAAAAAACATATGCACAGAAATCAGAAGAGTACATTACCTCAACATGTTTAATTATGATCAAGTAGTGACATTTTTTAGTAACTTAAAAACAACAAATGAATATATAATGGCAACATTTAACTGGTAAATTAAACTATTAACTTGATACACTAACCATAATCATATATCAAATCATGGATTAATTAAGAAAAAGCAATAAAATCTTGGAAATTAAATGGAAAGCTCTAGAGAAAGGGGTTTGATCACTGCCTTCGAATGTATGGAGGATGTGTTGTGATAA